GGAGGGACCATGGGCGCAACGGAGAACGGGGCGGCAGTGACCAAATCCCGGGGAGAGGCGCGGCCGCGGCAGGTGGCACCGGCGACAGCAGTTGCAGGGGCGGCGGAGGCCGGGAAACCGGAAGTTCGCACATCTCAGCAGCCACTGCTACTAAGGACGCGCTCGGTTGCTAACACGTCGGGGCCGGCGCGTCCAGTGACGTCAGGGGCGCGGTGCCTTCGTGCACGTGTCCTGCCTGTCGGCGAGGGGTCTGGCCCTATGCTTAGGTCCTAAGTAAAAAAGTCAACAAAAGAAAAGTGTTGAGCGATTCTTTGCATAAGGAGACCACGGGAGATAGCGAGCTCATAGTTTGAGTTCGTTGGTGCGGAGCTGCAGGTGCACAGCCAACCAATGATTAAGGCCTTGAGGTTCCTCTCTGCTCAGGTACAACTTTCAGACGTCTCTTCCCTTTCCTTTCCTGAGAGCATTTACTTTAGAAAACTTGTAATTGCAAATTCATTCTCTGCCCTTCTCAGATACACATCTTTTTAAAAGCTTTTGGCTTTTGTCAGTTGTGCAACCCAGGACTGTCTTAAGGACCCGGGAGCCATCTTTTGAAATGTAATCAACGAAGAAGATAACACCCCTCTCTTCCAGTCTCTGGAAAGGTAGGAGCCTAACCTAGGCAGGCGCCTTGTTTCAAGTTGTAGAACTACCTCCTGTCATGAAGCTAAGAGAAAGAGTTAACTTTTCCTTTGAATAAGGCCAATTTGTAAACATAAGGGGCCTATGATGCCCCCTTCTTCAACTTTTAAAATCTCTTCAGCTCTTTGTTTCTTTCTGGGTAGTGAGCTCAGAGGTTGGAGAGGATACACTAGTATTGAGACCTCAAACTAAAAACAGACAATGGAGGTGGAAGGTCCCTGTGTGAAGAGGAAAGATTCTGAGCCCCTCCAGGATGTGGTCTAACTGGGGACATGACAACTAGGTGAAGGAGCCCTATGGCTTAAAGATACATTTTTCTGAGACATAAGGGAAGGGGTGACTTGCTCCTTGCCTAGGGACGTACCCGCCTAAGTGGTATAAATCCTCTAAACTCCCAAATATCGGGGCACTTGGTTTTGTTTTGGCCACTAAGTTGTCCACTCAGGTCCTGAGTGTATTTATTTCCTAGAAAAAAATCCTCACCTGCTTTTGCTGCCATTTGTTTGAATTCATTCCTACCAGCAAGACAAGAACTGGGGGTACAGAGTACTGTCTCTGACCAGGAGCTATTTCTGACCAGAAACCACCCCAACCACCACTGATATTACAATAATCTTGAATAATGTCTTCCTTACCTGTTTAAGTTTGACATCACTAACATGGAACTTTGGCTTGAGCAGATACTAACAAACAACAACAACAAACCTGGCCAGAAGCCAAAGTTAATATTTGCTCTTTTCTTAAAAAACTTATACTCAACAAATTGTTTAGAATTTCTGCTTGCATAGCACTGTGCTAAATTATGAGTGTAGAGAATAGACAAATATGACCCTTGCTCTCATAGCACTTAGGTTCAAATGGAAGTAACAAAATGAACAATTGGACTCGTTCTGAATGCTGAAATAGGTGCTATAAATGACAAGTGCAGATCTAGAGTAAAAAATTTTATAAAGGACTATTGTAGGTGGTGTGGACAGGATAGTGTCTTTAGCTGCTTGGGAATAGCAGATTAATGTAATTGCTTCTGGTTGGTGGAATTGAAGGTACTAGGCATCTTAATGCTGGGTTTCTGTGTGAGCAAGACCATTATGACACACCCTAATTTTAGCTTCCAGCCTGGCATTTATCAAAACAATAGGTAGCTCTTTGGATTTCTTACCTCCCTTATTCACAGGCTTATTCAGAGCCATATATGAAAAAAGTCCAATATTCAACACATTAAAAAAAGTGCATCACCTTTCATTCCTTACAATATCACACTTTACTGTTGTGTTCCTTTCCCTGATTATCCTTCTCAGGTGCTCAGGCATAAAATCTTGACCTCATCCTTTCCCTATGGCTTCCCATCCGCAGCAATCCTTGCCAGTAACTGGAACATGCAAAGTGCCAAGTAATTCTGAAATAGCAGAGTCAAACGAATGGTGCCAAATGACTAGAGCATACGATGTTCTCAGTTTCTCCAAATGTGACTCTCAGCCACCTGAGTCAGAATCAGAAATGAGATTTGTTTAAAATGCAGGTTTTAGGTCATTATTCCAGAAAATCTGAGCCAGAATTTTTGGAAATGGGAACATGAACTAGATTTGCATTTTTCTTAAGCTCTCAGGGTCATTTTCGTTGACACTTAAGGTTAAGACTCCTTTCATTTCCCTCACCAACTGCATCTAGATCAGTGGTTTTCAACCTTCTGGCCCTTTAAATACAGTTCCTCATGTTGTGACCCAACCATAAAATTATTTTCGTTGTTACTTCATAACTGTAATGTTGCTACTGTTATGAATCGTAATGTAAATATCTGATATGCAGAATGGTCTTAGGCGACCCCTGTGAAAGGGTCGTTCGACTGCCAAAGGGGTCTCGACCCACAGGTTGAGCACCGCTGATCTAGAAAACTTGCTCAACCCACAGGTTGAGCACCGCTGATCTAGATGTGTTACCTTTTTCACTCCCTAACATCTTTTTTATTAATCAACTCTTTATTCCCTGCTTCTGACAAGGAATCATTTTTGTACCACTAAATACACTGGCTTGCTTGTCTCCCGGCCCTATATACCTTCAGTTAAACTCTATACATTACAGCCAGGGTAAAATTTCAAACTTAGATCTCCCTTAATATAACAAACAAATCTATTTTTCCCACAAAGATTCTCAGTCCTCAACAACAGGCAGTGTGACTGCAAATTATTGTTTTGTGTGTGTTGTTTTAGCAGAATACTATATTATTTATAAAGCATCATGAAACAATATTTTCAGTTGCATCACAGGAACTGGGAGCAAGTTTCCTGGGAGAAAATATTATATTTTGCTTGTGTAATATAATATTACAATTTTTGGTACATATGTCTATTTAAAAGATAAATTGTCAAACTAAGTATAATTGGTGTTTCTGATTTTTTTTCAATTAATAATGATAATACTTGTGCATTTACTTCTTTTCAGTTGGCTTGCACAAACGTGTACCAAGCACTCAAAATTTAAAACATGTAGGGAGAAAAATTATTAGGACATGAAATATAGATCAATTTACTTAAATTAATTTGCATACTGGAAAAAGACCACCGTTATTCTAATTTATCAGGGAACTCTGATAGCTGTCAGATACCAGTCTTTCATGGAAATATAATTAAAAACCATTGGCCTGCTGAGTAAAATCTAAATCCCACAGTGGTACTGAATGATAATTTTGTATATTAAGCATTGTGTACCAAGTATAGTGTTATCAAATGTTAAACAATTATCTTTGTTTTATCCTTACACACACAAAAAAATCCTTTGTTATTATTCCTACTAGAGGTCCGGTGCACGAAATTCTTGCACAGGTAGGGTCCCTAGGCCTGGCCGGCAATCAGGGCCATTTGGGGCCTTCCAGCTGCCGGCCTGGAACTTATTACATTCCATGCCGCCCCCTGGTGGTCAGCGCACGTCATAGCAAGTGATCAAACTCCCAGTCTCCTGGTCGAACTCCTGAGGGGACACTTTGCATATTAGACTTTAATATATAGACTAGAGGCCCGGTGCATGAAATTCGTGTATGGGGGGGTCCCCTCAGCCCAGCCTGCACCCTTTCCAATCCAGGACCCCTTGGGGATGTCCGACTGCCACTTTAGGCCCTGGGATCGGGCCTAAACTGGTAGTCGGACATCCCTCTCACAATCCCGGACCGCTGGCTCCTAATCGCTCACCTGCCTGCCTGCCTGGTTGCCCCTAACTGCCCCCCCCCCCCGCCAGCCTGATCGCCCCTCACCACCTCTGCGTGCTGGCCTGATCACTGGTAACTTACCCCCCTGCCGGCCTGGTTGCCCCTAACTGCCCCCGCTGCTGGCCAGGTCGCCCCCAACTGCCCCCCTCTGCTGGCCTGGTCGCCCCTAACTGCACCCCCTGCTGGCCTAGTCGCCCCATGCAGCCTGCTTGTTCAGTCGTTTGATCGTCCCTCACTAACCCCCCTGCTGGCCTGGTCTTAGGCAGCCATCTTGTGAGGGTGTGAGGATCAATTTGCATATTACCTCTTTATTATATAGGATTTCATTTTTACAGTTAAGGAAACTGAGACACAGAGTAATCAATTTGGTGAAAACACACATGGGTGATAACAATAGAGCTGGGCAGTGAATCCAGACAGTTTAGCAGCAGAGGTGAGATATACCCTGCTACATTTTATCTTCTCCTAATAAGGGTTTTCATGATTTGAGTCTAGCTTATTCTCAATCAAATAGTGCTAGAATAATGTTGCATAAATAATAATCTATAAGATCCAAGTGTCATATAGCAAATAAGCATTTACTTCTCTTATGTCTTTAGTCAAACTGGGATTGACTGATTTAAGCTTACCCTGTATAGGCTTGGTTCCAGACCACAGGTTTAGTTCAGTCTTACACCAGGCACCTCTCATTTTTCTGGGATTGGAAAACTATCTCGGTCATGTGCATCTCAAGTCTAAGATCAGAACTTCTGGGGCAGAGTGGATGAGGGGAAGGGGAATGCAGACTATGCATAAAAAAAAATGAGGAGCCATGTGTGTCGCTTTTTAAAAAACAAAAAACAAAACAAA